TTACATGTAATTGGTTAAAACAGAATACATTCCTAATGGCTTAAACATTCACCTTCATACTGACGCTTGTTAATGTGTATTGTCGCTTTAATGAAACAGTCCTAAATGTTGCCCTTCTACTGCTTGTTTTTCTGTACTGTAGCTCTTTCTTCTTCCCTTCTCATCCGGTTTTCCCCGGTTTCCCCCGGTTTCAGCCGATCCTGGAATATTTTATGCTAAAACATGTCAGCTGAGCTGCAGGTGGGGGCGTGTCTAAACAACAGCCTCTGTGTCGACCAATCAGCGAGCGGCCTCTTGGTTCGTCACAGGATAAATTATGCGGGTTTGTTTGGAGCTGCAGATTTTCAGTAGTGCCGAGATGAGCTGACCTTGGATGTGTTTGTACCGCTTCCGTCGGTTGAAAAGAAGGTGTGGATGTGTGTAGCGGAGCTGGTCGTTTGTGAGAGGATTATAAACATGGCCAGTATGAATACGCCGTGCTTCACCATGGCTATGGACATAGGCGTCTGCCAGCTGAGAAATCTCTCCATATCGTTTCTGTCGTCGTTGTTGAGCTCAGAGAGGTCGCTCGTCAATCTCGACAAAAGGTAAAAACGTTAAAAAAAAAATTAAAAAAAAGACAGAGCTGTGTGTGATCATTGTCCTGTGCTGCCTCTGTGTCTGTGTTCATGGTCCAGCTGCCTTCACCTGTAATGTCACCGCTGTGTGATGGAGGTAACATCTGCTCAGTGATGCTTCAGTGTCATTACACTAATCCGCAGTGCCTCTAAACGCTTTGAAGGGAACATGAGGAGGTTTTTTTTTAACAAAGAAAATAGGAATTAATAGTCATTCCAGGAGCTTCCCGTAACAACCCATACTCATGTGTAGGGTGAAAAAGCCCCCCCCCCCCCCCCCAGGCTGCGACTCCTCTTTGTGTAAGAGCGAATTGGACTACAATCTGTTATTAATCTTCCTCTTCTTTTCTTGCAGTTCGTCAGGAGCCAGCGTTGTGGCTATAGACAACAAGATTGAACAAGCAATGGTGAGTCTTCACTTTGTTTCTCCTATCACTTTGGGAAATGTTACATATGGTTAATAAACTGAGATGTTTTCTGTAAAATACAACAAATTGTGGTTTGTCTGAAAGGTAGAATTTATATATAGAAAAAGTGCTATTTATTTTTTATTTATTTATTCAACAGTTTGCATGTTGTTGTCAGATAATTAACTCCAGGCTATTTATTTTTAAGTTCTTGGACTGTGCTTTTATGACATGGCAAAAATTCTAATGAAACAGAGATAGTTAACCATAGATCATGTCTAGAGACTGCTACAAATATTGATTTAAACTTAATTTCGTACAATTGCTGTATCCGGCTGGAGACAACGTCAATGAAACATTAAATATTTTCTAATTCAATGCATTACTAATGTTTACTAATTACCATAAGTAAACTTTTAAGTTTATTTATGGTGTGTTGAGATCAGGTCTGAAACACAGGTAAATTCACGTTAAAAAAAACTTTATTATCTGTTTCACTTTGTTGTTGTTGGCTTTTGTCAACTCTGTTGCTAGGCACACTTGAAAGCTCACAGCCCAGTTATAAATATCTCGGTTTCTGATTGGCCAAGACTTAAATGTGGGCAGGATTCATGACATGGCATCCTGGGAATATGCTTACTCAAGTTTTTCCTCATCAGGGCTTTTTAATTTATCTCATCAATTCTAGGTTTAATCAAAACATCTACGTCATTCGATGTCAAGTTGTGTAATTGTTGTGTAATATTTCTAGATAATAGTCCATCTTCTAAGCAAAAGTTGTGACAATTCCAAAGTATTTACACTTTTTTTTCTCGCCATAAAATAATTTCTGAAGATGCCAGAAGTACTCTCTTATCTTCCAATTAAAACACAATTATGCATTTTGCTTACAAACTGATTCTCCACTGTATTTCACACATCACAATGGCGAGTCATTTCTTTTTGCGTGACATATTTTCAGGTTTGCCACTTAAGTGACACATTTTTATATTCACAGCAACATTTGTCCTGATTGGCTTAAAGATCAAACAGACTTTTACATTTTAATTGATTAATCTGTGTCATGTTGAAAATGATCCAAGTTCAGGTAGTGCCGCACATTAAGAAAAACATAAACCCGTTGCAGTCTAGACCTGTGAAGGCTGTTTCGTCTTGAGCTCGGGATCCAGCCTAAAGATTTCTTTTAAAACTTTTTAAAATAAGGCAGTTTCTTTTCTTACCAATGTAACTTTTCTGCTTTGCTAAAGTGCTCATAAAGGATTAAGCTGAGTCTTTGTAACATAACAATGAGTAAGGTCTTTTTACCTGCTCTTTTGTAATGTTAACAGACAAAGAGTAAGGTATTTTACCTGCTCTTTGTAAAGTGTCTCGAGATAACACTTGTTATGAGTTGACGCTATACAAATAAAGATTGATTGATAATGCATGGTATTTTCTGACCAGCAAAAATGGCTTTAAATCTCCATCATATAGGTGAGCTCAAAAGAATTATAATCGAATACGACAAAAATGTTAAATGCTCAATAATTATTTAACTGATGTTAACAAAAAGAAAAGTATTCATTGCTTACGTATATTATTGTCCCACAATAGAAGTCTCCTAGCCTGGGCAATAAACCAATCAGGGTTAATTTGCTATAAAATGCGTCCCAAATCATTCCAAGCTTCTTTTTTTTCCTCAGATAAATTTCTCATGTAAACTATGATTTCTATAAATGTCTGTCTCTGTCTCTTTAAGGACCTGGTGAAGAGTCACCTGATGTACGCTGTGCGTGAGGAGGTGGAGGTCCTAAAGGAGCAGATCAAGGAGCTGATCGAGCGTAACTCCCAGTTGGAGCAGGAGAATACCTTGTTGAAGACGCTCGCCAGCCCAGAGCAGATGGCCCAGTTCCAGGCCCAGGTTCAGACTGGTTCTCCGCCTGCCCCTCCAACAGCGGCTACACCAGGACCAACGAGCTCCGCTACCATCACCCAGCCTGCACTTCACAGCTCTGGACCTTCGGCGTAGCCTAGTCTTCGCTGACAGACGGACTGACTGACATTTTCATTGTTCTGCTACAGCAGCAGAGCTAAACTTGCCTTCTACAGCAAGATGTTACGCTGTTAAGTCAAGAATTTTGCACATATTTATCTCTCAGAAGGTTGCAGCTAGTAGGACAAGTGGTGCTCTACAGCACCATGGAGGGGGATAATCTGGCAATTCGGTATGGGTGGTTTGTTTGGAAGGAGGACTGAATTATCGTATATTTGCCAAATAACCCTTGGACATATCAACTAGAATGTCTTACCAAGAAGAAACAAAACAGCTTATCAGTGGCGATATACTTAACTATAGATAAAAATATCACTGTGCCTGTGTCTGGATTTTAAGTGATGTCGATTTTACTGATGCTGGCAATTGATGAATAGGAGGTGGAGGATTGTATTAGTTGTTACATTTTTTGCTGAATGATGTAAATAAAAGTTGTTCTCTCTCAAGGCTAGATCCTAAAGTTACATGCTGAGAGATTTGAGAGAGACACACAAGGCCTTCTTAAGAGTGACAAATGACGAATGTGAGCAATTATTATCATGACAAAGTCCCCATCTGGAATGGGGGAGTGGGCGGGAGGGTATTTTGAACAACATTTGGCAGCATTGTTACATTAACTGTGGAATGAACAAAAAAAAAACCCGTGATTTCTTATGGAGATGATGATGATATTGTATTTCAGTATTTCACTTTCAAGCTCCTCATTTTGCCCTTGACAAAGCTCATCTTGCTGTTTTCTTAACCCTGCTGTGGCATGTAATTTAAACCTTATTTGCCAGGGTTGAGATATTGGGCTACGCTGCATTTTCTCTTTTCCTACAAGTTTGATGGGCAAAAGACGATGTATATTTCTGTATAGTGTAAGTATCATGTAAAATAGTGAGGAAAAGGAAAAACAACAACAGATGCTATCTTGGTCACACAGATTGAAGCGGGTGAGCAATGAACGTGCTGGTCTTGCACAGTCTGTGTCATCTATTTTTAATGCTGTATTTTCAAGATTGTGGATGGAAAGGAGCTGAGGTTATTTAACTGACAACACAGACAACCATGTTGTCGATATATTGCAACATTAACTCTTACTGTAAAACCAACTTCACGTGGCTCGTTTTCTTTCTGGAGTATTGCACCTTTCTGAGTTTTTTTTTTATTTCATTTTTTTGACAGTGATGTATTTCTGGATGAACAATATCTTAAAACTCAACATTTAAAAACAAACAAAAAAAAAAATACAAATTCCTGAAATGTTTTTTCTTTTTCATTCTGTGTATCAGTTGTATGCTCACTTTCTGTGCATGTTTCTGCAACAAAAAAAACAACCGGATGAGATATTGTAACATACTTACAACAATTGCACTCGACAGCTGCACTTCACAACTTTCAATAAACGTGCTTAAAGGAGAATAAACATCTGCTCACCATCTCTTTCTTATTCCTTTTCAATTCAACTGGGCTCAGCCAGTATTAGTTATTTCAAGCAGCTGTCTTTGGTCTTGGCACCACATGATTGTAAAATTCCAACAACATTACATTTGTTGTCGTGTGTCCCCCTCTGCTGCAGTCCTTATGTCAGATTACTATTTCAATAGACTAATGTATTCACTCTTATGTATGTAGAGTTAAAGGAGGGCTGTACCAGATACTACCTACATATTAAAGTTTAAACATAGTGTAAATACAAATAGTTACAAAGAATATAGCCTGCTTTTTTTGTTAAGTTTTTTTAAACAACTTGTGATTTGGAGCTATACAAATTGATTGACTGGTTAAAATGCATTCCTTACATTAAGTAAAGCACCTGCTGTATCCGTATTATTTTGTTGGATGCAGACTTATAGTATCACCTGTATCACCTTCTTTTAGGGAGGGTTTAATGTATGTGTTGTAGGTTAATTTAAAGTTCAAATGTGTGTGATAAACAAAGGGAGTCTACAAAGCCAGAAGTAAAACTGGGCACTTCCTTAATACTCCACATTTACTTGAAAAAATGGTTCTCTTTACATTACACAGACAAATACTAAAACAGAAATATGGCACATTTTCAGCAGGAATCACAGGCCAAACACACTCTTATAATAACAGTCACACCTTCACACACACACACACACACAGGTGCTCAATGAGTAATGAGACACACATGTTCTCCAGCCAGTGTGGTTTTAGACTGTCCATAGAAAAGCTGTCCGTACCACAGACTGCAACACTGTAAACGCTGATCGGGGCAGGGGAATGTCTCAAGGAGGACTCTGGTGGAGGCGGCGGTCGGGTAAGCTTCCCTCTCTGAGGTCTGCTTGATTTGACGCGTTTGTGTCAGTCTCTGGATCTCTGGAAGGGGTGAGCAGGAGGTTCGGGCTAGCAGGGCTTGGTGAGGTCATGGCGGGGGGCAGGTGATGGGTGGGGGGGGAGTCCAGAGGCTTCTTCCGTCTCACATCCCCATACGGATACTCTGAATGATCTGAAATATGGCTAAGAGAAAACAACCATCACAGATTATTTGTTTTTCATTTGTATAGAGAATAACTCTTATTCTAAAAAAAAACCATTTGAATTGTGTCATATATTAATGATATATGAACATGGAAGGTGAGCCACACGTTTCATCATCTATGTTTATTCTAATGTTTCAGCAGGTGAGTATCTGAACAGCCCCCCCCCCCCCCCCCCAGTAGTAAACATCATTTAGCACACATTACAGATTGTATTTTCACAATTCATTTCCTTGGGTTTTCCCTCCCAACCAAGAGTATTAAAAATATTTTAGAAAGAAATCAAAATAAAAGTGGGCGTGTCCTTAGGCAAGCTCTATTATCTGAAATAATCCTCCAGAACGTTAGCTGCAACATGTTAAAGCCAAACGTCATGTAGAACACGATCATCAACAATTATTGTGTAAGTTACTTCTTATTACTCTGTTCACAGTTCAAAGCATTACACGTGCATACCTGATCCACACACAACAAATACAAAAAGGGCAAGCAGCCAGGGTCCCACGGGATACTTCTCCTCTTGTGGTCGCTAGGGAAACACAAACACACACACACACACACACACACACACACACACACACACACACACATACAGGTATTTAGTACTGCTGAATGTAAATAAATAGGGATGATTCTGCAGAGTAACTGTAAAACTACTTGGGTGTTTATATATTTACAAAATCCTTCTCAGGATGTTGTTGATCTTACTTTTGGCTCATGTCACTCTTTCTCCGTTCACATGCCTCCAACAGGTAATTGTGTTTTTGAGAACTACTGAAATGCAATCTTGATGTTGCTCCTCAAAATGGTCACAGAACTTGGTTTTTGCACATGACATACCCAAATGAACCCAAATATTCTGAAATGGACTGAGTATTTTTTTTTTTTCTTCAGTTGTGGCTCTCGTGGAAAAGATGAGTGAAACAGTACTCATGAGTGTAGACAGATTTAGAGAGAACCCATCGGATGATATCATCTGTTTGGACATGTGACCTGACTGTCTGCTGCTGCTCAGAGAGGTTGTTGCTGTGAGAAGGTTTTAATTATGCTGGAGGAAGTGGTTGTTTTCCTCATACAATAACATGTGCGTGTTTGTCTTGGTACAGAAAATGAAAACGGCCTAAACAGCCTCAACTATTGACCTTTGACCTACTGTTTCAATACCATTATGTGACAGGGGAACAGGGGGGAGGGGCTTTGACAGGTACAAACTCTCGTTAGGATAATAATCTACATAAAATTAAAATAGTGTAATGTAAAGTGTAATTTGCAATGAATTGTAATCTTCCTCTTTGGCTCCTCTCATTCATTCTGATTACAAAGGCATCATAACTGTGTGTTCATGCCAATGTGTCTGTGGGCCGATGACATTATACAATATAGTTTTTTTTCATTTATTAAAATTTGGATCGGAAACAGTTTCATAATTTGTAAAACATGCTGTCGAATCAACAGTGTTTATCATCTATGAGTCTTTTAAACATTTTTAAGATGAACTGTTCATAAATGCTCATATTGGCATGATTAGGTCTTTGTTGAGAAACTTTAAAGGGACGTGAAAGCCTTTTTACAGTCCCGTTTTTATTTAGAACCCCCCCCCAAATGTAATTGCTTATATTATGTTGTAATCATAGTATGTCTAAATGAACTGAGAGAGAGAGAGAGAGAGAGAGAGAGAGAGAGAGAGAGGGTGGGCAGAAGTCTTCATCCCTCTCTTAACCTATTTATATATATATATTTTTTTTTTTAAGTTGTGATTATGTTTTGTACTGTGCCAGGATATTATTCTATCACATTTGAGAGAAACCAAAGTGCAGTTTGAAAGTGCACTCACAAAATGATTCAGGAGGAATATGGTTCCATCTTCACAGTGAACTAAATTAGATCATTCTTCTCTGTTTTGGAGCCTCTTGGATTATTGTCACGCAATCTTTTCAAGGCCAACATTTTATTGTTACTCCAGAAAAAGTAACGCCACGTTACAGTAACGAGCAGGGTGAATAAAAGACATCTGAAATGAGCCAGCTCCTCCTGGGTGGGTCACACTGAATACACCGGAGAGAAACAAACACGGAGCTGCAGAAGGTGTGACAGGTCGACATATGTGTGATGATAAGAGCCAAAGCCGGCTTCACCATCATCTGCCTCACCATGCTGCTGTGATCAAACCCGAGTGAACGTCACCTCTCATCTCACCAGCGTCTTGGCTACGTTTCCTCTCTGCGTGATGTTCTTGCTGTGTTTCTCGTTTGCCATGCGGATCCTCTGCTTAGCCACCATCTTCCGGAGCGGTTTTTTAAAAACAACCCGGGGATTAATCAGTCTGGTTTTTTTTTCTGCCTGTAAATGTTTTTTTTTCTGAAGGAACAGGCTTTCAGCAGCACCCCCGCATCAAGCTCCAAAGACCCCTGACACAGTCGAACTCGGAAACTTGTTAACTCTTCTTTCAAAATATGAGCATGGCATTTTGTTGAATCAATGCAGCGTTTCAAAGAGGAGGTACGGGATGCAGTCTGTCTTTTTATTTTTATTTTTTTTACCAAAAGAAGGATTTGGTTTAGTATTTGACACATTTTAATGCCGTGTTTTCTGTCTCTTAGTAGATTATAAAAGTAGAATTTATCAAATCAAACATTTATTTTGAAGCTCTTCACAGGACGTAAGATGCCTAATTGTAGTTTCCTTGACAGAGCTCCTCACCGTTAGATGCAGACAGACATTACTGATAGGTAGTGTTTTCACTGATTACAAGGAAAGTATAGAAATCATATTTAATTACTGTGATGCATTTTGATAGTTTGACAGAGAGCAGCACTTTTTTTTTTTTTTTTTTTTACAAAATATTTTATAAAAAGGTTGAAAATACTGTAAGGGATCAAGTGAGTCTTTTTTATAGATGCACAAGAACAGGTTAAGGTGTAATGAGAAGATGAAGATCAATTTATATGATTTGACAAAATCCATAGTAGGCTGTTATACAAATGAATTAGCCTACCTTATGTAAATGCAAAATGATCCAATCAGTGCACCTCCAAACTCCGTTTGAATATTATTATATTTGAATATTGTAATGGTAAGATGTCTGTGTTCTCAGTCATCCAGGTCATGGTCAATTCAAAGCTTGATCCAAAAGCAACTGGACTTGTTGCTAATAATCCACCAAGGCTTGAATTTCTTGCTCCGTCCAGCAGATAGTTTAGAACTGAAGAAGCCTTCTGGAGGAGAGGTGAAACGTCAACTAGTCCAGTTCCCTTTGGATCAAGCTTCAAATTGTAATGGTAATGCATTCTAATTTTTCCCTGTTTTTTCCCTTCATATTCATTTTTTATTTAACTTTGCATCTTGATTTGAGGGTAATGGACTGTTCAGAACCAACCATAGGCTGTAAATATTAATAGACACAGCCTGAGTGACATCACCTGTCTGTTACTGCGGGGGGCTTTGGAAGCCCATCAATGGTGGTCTCCATGCTGGAAGCGCTGTCTCACCCTAACTTTCAGTGAACCTAATGACAGGCTGAAAGCTGGAGCTGAGGAGGGTCTTAAGCCAGTCAGTAAGGTCAGCTACAAACTTTATCATAAATACCACTTATCACCCCTGCCCCGAGATTCTATCAATTAGGCAAACAAGGGAAGGCTGAACAAGTCCAAACAGCCGACCGATGTTGTGTTGTGTTACACTGCTGTTCTCACAGAGGGAGTGCTTCTTTGTTTGTTTCTGGTACAGAACAATGTTGATCGGCTGAACGACTGTCACATTTCGTGTAACAAACAACAACAGCAGGAGTCAAATAGTTGGTTCACACACACAAATGATGTCCACTGTGGTCCCTGATTGTTGTTTTTACATTTCAGATGATAAACGATGATTAAAGCAGGATTTATTGATTTGTTTTTCATGCTTGTGTTTACTACAAAGATTGTAAGTGGGAGAAATACAAAATGCAACCATAAACCCCAACAATAATTGGAAATTAGGTTGTTAGTTAATTAAGAATCCTGTTTATTAGAATAAAAGAAAAATGAGTAGAAAACTGTTCATGGTTTTGCATGTAAGGAGAAAGGACAACATATCAATCCACACACAGCTTCTATGCAGTGTCCATAGCACAGGTTAACAACTTACAGCTAGAGAAAAAGTTCAGTATGAAATCCTTGGTTACTAAAAGTTGTTGTAACATCTCTATTCATATCTGAGCACGACGACTGACATTTATACAGAAGTAAACAGAGGACCTGGTTAGGGCTGCGCAATTAATCACAGTTTCATCGTTATATGAGAACTTCACAATAAGCACATTGCATCTATCACGCTAAAATGCAAACAAGCTATCTTTCTCTGCATGCACACATTTTGCCTATGGATGGAAACCTGGGCATGATGTCCATGCTTTCACATCATTTTGATGCAGTCGATGAAGATTAAACTAGCTCACAGCTCCCCTCAGATTAATTAGTGCCAATTTAGTGGTGGGAAAAAAAAGGCTTTATGTTTTTGCAAAAAATGTTACATGTTGCAAAAAGGTTTTGTTAAAACATAAAGAATAGGAGCGACACTCAACTGTGAGTTACAGCTAATATTCAATATTTAGTTATTATTGATTTGTGGCACTTCATCATTATTGAAATAAAGAACTATGTTATTGTACACTGCATATTTTTCTGCTACAGATCAAATGTGTTATATGTTTATATGTTCAACGTTAACATCAAGCTTCTCCCCTTCCCATCCCGACGGTCTCCTTAGAAAAAAAAAATAGGCAAATTATTCAAAATGTGAGTTATATATATCTGATTGTGTTTGAATAATTTGCTTTTATTTAATTAACGGTTATTTAACTTGATGCTAAATTGTTCATTCATTTCATTATTTCTCGATTTAAAACCACATGATGGGTATTCAGGAGGGACTTTCTTGAATTTGAATATTGTTTGTATGTAGGATTTTAGTTTTTTTTTTAATTTGTCGATCAATAATGCTTTTGATGAATAAAGACTTTAATGCACCATAAAGTGAATAACCAAAGTCCTATGTTTGTGTTGCCTGGTGAAGTTCTTTCAGCAGTGTGGTTTACTTTTACTATTTTCTTTAACTTTTCTCAAACTTGTGATGTTTTTCATCAAGAGCAGAGATCTTGAAAAGTTGAAAGGACTAATCAAACTGTCCATTTGTATATGCGAAATCACATTTGTAGTGTTTGTTTAGTCAGAAACAGCAAAAGTGGCAGGAATGTGAGGGGGAGAGGATGTTTTGACAGGAAAAAAAAAAATAGGCAGCGCCAAATGCACAACACATTCATTTCTGTCTTCAGATGTACAGACCAGACGTTCAGAGGCTCTACATCTGTTCAAACACTGTGTTTTAAATTTACACATGAATGTGCCAGTAGTAACACTTCTGTAAGTACAGAGGGACCTATATGTTCTCACTCTGAGTTAGACCAAAACGAAGAGAGGCAGGGGTCTCTGAGGCTGTTTACAACCACTCCAGGTGATAATTATGGAAAAGTTGTCAGAATGGCAGACAGAAAAGGTAAGTGAACATGAACACATATGCACGTGCAACAAAGCAGCTGTAGCAAGGGGAAATATCTGAGATTGAACACCCGAGGAAAAATGCAGAAATTAAAACTCAGAGACATAATGCAGCCTATAGCAGCCATCTCCCATTGTTACATCACAGCACCTCTATTGTTGGAAACCCAAACCTACAGTAGCCTTGTCATGGATCTGTTTTCAGACGAACATTTAGAACTTCTGACCTAAATTCTGACTTGTTTTCCTGAAAACCTGCTGCCTTAATTCTAGTCTTCACGCACCGTGCAGAGCAAAAACATGCAGTCCAGCACCGCACCAGAGGAAGGTAAACAGTAGTTAACTCTAGGGAAAATAAACCAGAAACGTGAGAGATGAATTCAGGTAAAGAGAGACGAGGGTGGAGTGGTAGGGGGGGGGAGAAAATGTTTGATGTCTGCATGTGAGGGTGTGACATGAACAAAATAAGCCCTGTAAGAAGAAATGTTGGCATGTTGCTGGGTTGAAACTCATTACATCCCAACAAGCCCCCTTCTCTTTCTTTCTTTTTTTTTTTTTGATTGCCAGGCTCATTCGCCTGCTGACCAAACTCCCCGTGGCCTTCACACTGCCGTGCCAGACAGAGCTGAATATACAGACGCTCACACATATCCAAAACTACACATCTTCACACACCAGCATCTCTGCTGTTTTATGTTTATTTTCAGGTCAGAAATCAGAGATGTTCAGTGTCATTGCTTTCAGAATCAAATGTCTGCTCACTTTCTGAAAGCCCAGTGCTGCTGTCATCATTGGGGAAACAACACTGGTACGTTTCCTGCCACATATGCACAGGTCTTTAACAGCAGCCTGGAAAGGCAAACAGGCTTTCAGACATACGTGTTTTTAAAGTATACAAATACACAGGCAGGACTTCCTCTCCCAAAAAAGAGAAACCTTCCAGTAAAAATATTTACTCATAACTGCAGCCTAGATACTCCAAAATAAATAAATCGTACATTCGCCCTCTCAGAAACTTCATTTGATCCTTCTGCCTTGATTGTCAGCAGTCTTTTATCATCTTTAGGATGGGTCAGTCGACTTAGCTAAAAATCTTCCAGGTTTGTAGATCTTTCAGGTATGGAGATGACATGAGTAGTGACTTAAAAAATCATATTAAAGGGTTTTAAAGTCAGATTTCATTTTCTGTTATTGCTCATTATCAACAGAATGCTGCGTCTTCAAGTGTTCTCTTTTTTGAACGGCCACATTCAATTCTTCTCAATGTCTTTTGTTGCATGTCCATTGGGGACATGTTGATATGGATACTAGATTCTCTCAGATGGCTGTTTCATCGTAAATATATTTACACAATGACTCCAGGTAAGTAAGACTGGATGTATAAAACAGATGAATTTGACTTTACAGTGAAGACCTAAAAGATCTGATTTTTAAGGTTGCATAATAGGTGCTATTTAATGTGAATTTCTTTATACAATGTGGAACAGGTTACTTCAATATTCATTGCAGGTCACAACAGTGTTGCTGCTACATTATCTACATATTTGCTCCCTGCACATATCTTAGTTTATAATTGGGCCATTAAGAATCCAATGCATACTGAAAGAGGAAAAGTAAAATGTAAAGGTATTTTTGTTAGTGAGAAGAAGTGCAGACTGCGTTAATGAAAATATTGGTTTTCCCCCGGACAAACAAAGGACTATTTCTTTAACTTCACCGCATCAACAGGACTCCAGGAAGTCACTGCTTCTGCCAAAAAAAAAAAAGAAAAAAAAGTCACCATTTGTTTTGTCCTTCTTTTGCGTATTAAAGCAACAAAATATCAAGTTTAAAAAGTGTTAAATGGTATTGATTTTTATTCCCAAATGTAATTCAACCAAAATGTCCACCTCCCTATGAGAAGGGGATGAAAATGTTTGTCTTACATTTAATGGTAATAGTGTTGGT